GGCATGTTTCCAATAACAGAAGTCAATAGATAAAATAAGTTGGTTACTTTATCTGACTATATGCCACATGAGTTATACTATCATATGTGTCCTCTTCTCAATCCCCACTATTTTAATTTTTAATGGTCTCTAAGCTTTTCTCTATTCAGCTGCCACAGTTAATGAAGCAACCAGTCAATCAGTATATATTTAATGAGCATAAAATTTGTCATGCTTGGTATTTGGGGGAACAAGAAAGACTTGCTCTTGAGGAGCTGGAGTGCATGGCACAATCAGGTAAGAAGATGTGCACTAAGAGTTGAGACACAGCAAAGAGGTCTGCCAGTAGCCTTGGGGCCAGCACCTACCCTGACGCAGAAGGTGTGTCAAAGTGAACAGAAAGATGCCCAAGTTACTAGAGCTTGGGGCAAGAGGAGCAGCTGTGTGCTAGGGCAGGGGGCCTGGGATGTTCATCTGTTTCTCGCAGGCTCTTGTGCTGGTGAGATGAGTGTGGTGATGGGGGTGGGATGACAAAGGTAGAAGAGGCTGCCCCTCCCATAGAACTGGGAAGCCGCATAAGCTGGTGTCTAGGGTCCCTTCACAGGTTCTCCCTTCACCACATTCTCACCTTTTCATGCCCAGCTCATTATTCACCAGCCAGGCCCCCAAGCCATGTCAAGGAGAACTTTGTACGTGTTCAAAGTCAAAGGGGGATTTAGTTTTAAAAGAGGCCACTGGGGTCTCTCAGTATCCTATAGAGCTAATAGAAGGAGGTCTGGAGGAGTAGAGGAAGGAGAAATTTTTCATTGTTGATATTACATAGGGTTACATATATTTTCTATGAGCCTGCACAAAGATTCCTCTTTATCAGGGGAAAGAAGTATCTTTTCAAATGTGAAAAATCGCTGACCATGAAAAAACCATAGAACTGTTATTCAGGCAGCAGTGAAATGTGACTTATTAGCCCAGAAATGTAGTCAAATGTAACATTATCACATATTTTCCCCTCTAATGACAAAAACTCTTCTAAAGACTTTGAAACATGTATCTTTTTTGCCTAATGGTTCTCAGTGGTGACTGAATCCTTCTTTCACCCAAGGTTAAGGGAACATCATCATAAACTGTTAATTTGATCACTGTTTCTATTTACTGTGCATAAACCTTTTTGTATACTTCTCCGTGGGCAGAGACGTAAGTAGCAATCAAGGTTTACATGCACAAAGCAGGAAATGAACTGCTTGAGTTTATGTTCTAAAATGGCTTCCCCCAAACTGAAAGAACTTGACCCAACTGGCTCCATTCCCCTATTTTAGGCAGAAAGTTTGATCAAGAGAGGCTGTAAAATTTCAAGCAATCTGCCGAATTTTTTAATTATCCCTTAAAATTCTCTGACTATGCACTTAGAATCTAAGAGGGAGGAAGGAATAGAAGTGAAAATTCAATCTGATCACCCTAAACAATGACACCAGAGTGGGACAGAAGTGCTAAGAACATGAAAATCATAATTGAATCTAAAGATAAATGATCACTTTTCTACTTCATATTGTCAATATATCACTCCATCACCCAGGGGAAAAAAAAGAACCTGTCACCTGGTTTACACAGCATTTTACCCATTAAACATTGAAGAAAGTTTCAGATTTTCCAGGTGAAACACATCTACTGAACAGCCTCGTCCAGTTCAGGCCTTGCCTAAGATCTTATTAGGTATCTCTGGGACATTGTCTCAAGGAAGCAGGGAGACTGGATGGATTCCAGCCCCCCTTAGGAAACTAGGATGCCAATCAATTATGCCGTAGGATTCACAAAATCAACTAGAATGCCCGTCCCACTTAATCCTCACAGAAAAAGCTGAAACAATCACTTCTCCCCAGGAGTGAAATGGCATCAGTCTAATGCCTGGGGCCAAAGCCAACAGTCTCGGCTGGAATCTGAGGCTTCTCAGCCAGAAAATGAGATCTTGAAACTACAGCAAGTGGATCTCTTTGCTCCACTTGCTATGTTTTTCCAAAAGCAATAGAAGCTGTATTTTTTTCTTAGACAAATTGGGAAAAGTTAAAAGTAAAATGTAAAAATAAAAATATAAATGTTATTCTGTTGGTCATACAAATTTGACATTTACAAGAGTACTTCAAAAAGTTCATGGAAAGATTCATATTATCTTTTAATTCTATTTTCCTACGAACTTTCTAAAGTAGCCTTGTACGTATGACTGGAGATTATGAACTAAGTGCAAGTCTTTCTACTTTAAGGTTCTCTATTTAATAAGAATTATTTTGAAATTTTAATAATAGTGTGCAATATGACAAAATATTCAGGTTTTTTTTTTTTTAACTAGAAGAACATTTATGAAGAGATATCTAAGGTGTCTAAGCTATTTAAACTATAAAAGGAATAAGGATTATCTATATTCCTATATAATGGGAAGTCATTACAAATCCTTTACAAATATCTTCCCTTTAGACTTTCGTGGCTAAGGTTTTAAAATGTGGTTCTCTGTGATTATATTACAAAGCCAGCTTTCTTAAAGGACCAATTCCAAATACCTTTCCCCTCCTATGAAACCCTTTTCAACCCACATTTTTTTTTTCAAAAGTGTAGCCCTTCCTTCTTTTAAAAAAAGATAGAATTTTAAAAGTGTAGGGAAAAAATTATTTTTTAGTCCCATGCCAAAGATGCTACATGCCCCTACATTTTTTGGATATTATAGTATTTACTATGTATTTCATATATATATATATAAAGAGTAAAATAAATATCAATTGCTGCCCCACCACTTGTGACTGAGAAAACTTTAGAAAGAAAATTAACTCGAATTGCAAAAAACTCAAATTGATTGCAGTAATTAGATTTCATTAATACATTCCCATTACTGAAAGAGAGATGAAATGTCTGTCTACCAAAGTCCATGGCCTTTCCATGTACTCTTCAGCAGTAGAAAACCAAAATCAAAATGGCATCATCCACGCAGTCAAATAAACTGTCATACTAGATCACTGGCCTTTCCCTGGAACCAACCTTCTGTGAACCTCAACTTTTCCTCTCTTTTAACCTCAATATCAAAATACCTTCCCTTCAGGGATACTAAAACATTTCACTTTTGAGATAAAGTCACACAGGAAAGACTATCAAAAAGAAAGAAGTTAGTTCTGCAGATTTTAAGTGAACCTGGGTAGTTATTTTTTCCCTGCTTGGACTATGTGCTAACTTCAGCCAGATCGGCTCCTTCCTGGAACAAAGCAGGGAATAAACTATCGATAATTTTTAAACATATTCATCATGATAAAAAGATAACTCTACTTTCCAAGTTTTCCTCATAGCTGAAATAATCCATTTCTATTTATGGGAAACTGAAGGCAACCTTACATAAAGAAAAGCTTTTTTTTCTCTGTCATATTCTAGAGAAATGTTAACCTCTTCCCCAACCAGAATGATTCTGTTTAAGAAAGTAAACATATTTTATGACATGCCAAATTAATTAGTTATCTGATAATGCTACAATAGAAACGATGCTGATCATCACAGAAAAGAACCTGATAAAATTTCCATTTCCATTTTTTTTTTTTTTGTCTTTTGTCTTTTTCCGTGTCCGGCAACGGATCACAACCCTCAGTGTTGCCCCCGCGCCTCGCTCAGCCAGTGAGCGGGAACCGGTCTGTATGTGGGATCCGAACCCTCGGGCGGGAGCGCCGCCGCGCTTCCCAAGCTGCGCACTTATCCAGTGCGCCACCGGGCCGGCCCTCCATTTCCATTTTTAAATTCCAACAAATAATTCAAATATATTTTTCAATGAGTTTAGTGTTTCATTTCTGAAAAGCAGTTCCCTTCATTTTAAAGCATACTTACACGTTCTTCAGTCACTTTAAATGTTAGGTCTACTTAGCAAGACTTCACTGTCTTTTTACTCCCTTTCTCAGTTACTTGTTAAATGTCTTCTGATAGGTCACATTTTACCTTTTTAGTCTATAAAAAGTGTCATAAAAAGCATTTAAGAACACTTGTAACTAAAATAACTGTACAAAATTTACTAAAAATAATTATTAAAATTAAAAAAATAAAATTAAAACATAAAACAAATAAAGCATTCACATTTACTGAGCTTTTGTTTTCATCAATCACAGGTAAGAGATGCAAAAGTCATATCCTCAAAAAACACAGGATTTAGTATCATACTTGTTTTGACACCATGTTTTGAAACAACACTGCTTGATGGTACCTTTATAATTCAGAATTTTTCACTCAAAGGAAAGAAATGAATACAGATGTTCTATTAAGCATCCTAAACATCCACTATTTTGTCATTGAACTCTATGATGCATAAATTTGAATAAAACCTTTTTGCACCAAAGGAAATTCTAGTATTTCTTTTAGTCAAATAGGGCCTGAAAGTGCTAGTGTTCCTCCAAAAACATGTATGAATTTACCACATATCCCTATAAAAAACTGTCACTTGGCCTGGAAAAAAAATATGACTGTTAATGTTAATCACTTACAACAGAAAGAAAACACCATCATTAACTGAATTAGGATCTATCCTAATAATATTAGAGTAACAATTGTCTGGCTCTATCAGCAAGTTAGGTGTTTGGGGTTAATCAGATGCTTAAGCCCCTACTTATATTAACATGTGGATTTGTGATTTTCTAAGAAATTTACATTAATACTCTATTAAACTTAATTCAACTTTTCTTGAGGAGTTCAGGAAGCATTTCTTCATCTTCATCTTTACATCAGGATCATCATTATAAACCACTTATTATAAATGTATCACATGCATAACAGTTAAGAAAGCATTCCTGGTTGGCAATCTGCTGGATAAACCATTTTTTAAAATAAAAAACTGCTTAGCACAAAATAACCTGTAACCAAGGACCGGGGTTCAATCCCTGCACAGGCCAGCCGCCCGTGCCCACACACCGCCCCAAAAAAGCCTGTTGCATTTTTATGAAAAGAAAAATTTTTTTAAATCAGAATTTTCATAGTCTTTGAAAAATGAGAAAAGTACTGACCAGTCCACTTACAGTGAGTTCACAGAAATCGATGCTATCAAGGCTTTTGCTTCTGTGTAGTCTCCCTTTAATTCGTCTTAAAGAAGGTTTTCCTTGGCTCACACTAGAAGTAGCACCATTAGGATTTTCAGAGGATGGCGTTACCCTGCAAGAAGGGAAAACATTCTTAAAAGGACAGCTTTACAGGTGAACACATTTCTCAAGTCTGAGGTAAGCATTTACTTGAGGGTAGCTTTGGAAACATCACATTCCTTTTTCAACCAAAAAACAAAGAACTACAGTGGAACTACATTCTATCAGACACCTGTAGGGGCCCAGGGAAGACTTCCCCTTCAACCTTTTGAAGGTTCTCTGAAAAATCAATGGATAAACTTTAATATGAAAAAAGGCGTAACTAATTTTATTATTTTAACATGCTGGGGATGGGCAATGTATGGGGGAATCACAAGAGAGTAATGTCCCAATTTTCCACTGGGGTACAGAGCTTATACACCCATCTCCATAAGGAAGAGGAAAAGGGGGTGTAGGAGTAAATGGTTCTTAGGGGGATGCAATGGGCCTGGAGAACATGCAGTGGCCTGGGACAAAGTCTATTTGGCCCACAGAGCAATGACTGGTAAATGATTCTCTTCAAAATACTGACTGGGACAGAAAAAGAAGACAATGGACTGTGACAAAATTCTGTCCAGGTGTGCCGACAGGCTCCAGTCTTCCTTCCTATGATATGAGTTAAGCTAATGAAAACTCGGGGAAAGAACCAGAGGTCATTGTCTTCTTCTCTGGTGGGTCCAGACATTAGACAGATAAGGGAAGGGCTGCATCCTGTGATTTGGACAGTGACAGAGGATTGATGGGGTGGGGAGGGGCAGGGGAAGTCAGAGAGAACTGAGGCTGCTCCTTTATTCCAGTATGTCAACCATATTTTGGGATACTAGCCTCTGAGACCCAACATTACCTTTCTAAATATTTCTTAGCAGCTGGCTTGCTTGACAGAGTTGAAATATTCCAAAATTAAGATTCACTATAAGTCAACTCTGCAACCATCAAAGAAGCAATTAAGAGTAGACTGAAGTTTCCTAGGTAACTCCAAGGCATCTGCCCCACTCTGGGCAGTTATTTACCCAGCGCTCAGTCTGGTGACTGGAGCACGCAGTACAAGTCAGCTACGATTGTGTACATCCAAAGATACTGTCCAACACACTTTTGTTAAGCATGAAAATAACTCTTACAAATTATGTATTTATTTATTTTTGTTTTTTTGACAGCTGGTCAGTATGGGGATCCAAACTCTTACAAATTTAAACATAATAGTCAACATTTAATTCAGCATGATCATGGAATCAAGAAAACAAATAAGAAAAAATAGAGAATAATCTAAGCCATCTATAGAGTACACATTGGGATACATGTTTATACATATAAATGCACCCTTAAGTTTGGCACCTAGGGCTGGCCAGTTAACTCAGTCAGTTATTAGAGCCTGGTGCTGGTAACACCAAGGTTCATGGTTCGATCCCTGTACCAGCCAGCTGCCAAAACCAAAACAAAACAAAAAAATTGGTACCTGCTCTCTCACTTCTGTGCCACTATTGGTGACAGCCTTAGAACAAAATAGATGGAGAGAAGTGCTCTTGGCACCCACGAGGAAACTGCTCAGTGGATTACTGTCTTAGAAATGATAAAACATACATAGTAATGAGACTGATTTGTAATTGTGGTTTCTGAAAGTCAGTTTTCTTATTTTATGACCATATTTCCTACTTATAATACAGTGTTCATATATTTACCAACCTTTGTGACCTATTAAATTTTTTATACTTAAAATGTTGTCTAAAAGGGATAACATGGGTCTCTAGTTGCTTTAAAAATACACTACTAGGGCTGGCCCGGTGGCGCACTGGAGAGTGCGCCGCTTGGGAGCGTGGCAGCGCTCCCGCTGAGGGTTCGGATCCCATGTGGAGACCGGTTCCCGCTCACTGGCTGAACGCGGTGCGGGCGCAACACCGAGGGTTGCGATCCCATTGCCGGTCCCCGGTACAGGCGCGACACCGAGGGTTGCGATCCCGTTACCGGTCAGTAAAAAAGACAAAAAGGAAAAAAAAAATACACTACTAGCAAAATAAATTTGATTTATGTATTAATAATAAAGAGTAAATATAAAATAGAATAGTTTAGGTATGGCTATAGTTTAGAATAAAAATAATACATCCATATAGTTAGAATATTTGAAGAGTATAGAAAGATATAAAAATGAAAAGTAAAAGCTGCCCTCTCCCACCGAGGGTTCGGATCCCATGTGGAGACCGGTTCCCGCTCACTGGCTGAACGCGGTGCGGGCGCAACACCGAGGGTTGCGATCCCATTGCCGGTCCCCGGTACAGGCGCGACACCGAGGGTTGCGATCCCGTTACCGGTCAGTAAAAAAGACAAAAAGGAAAAAAAAAATACACTACTAGCAAAATAAATTTGATTTATGTATTAATAATAAAGAGTAAATATAAAATAGAATAGTTTAGGTATGGCTATAGTTTAGAATAAAAATAATACATCCATATAGTTAGAATATTTGAAGAGTATAGAAAGATATAAAAATGAAAAGTAAAAGCTGCCCTCTTACCCCTCATCCCCAATCCCTATCCCTTTTCCAAAGACAACCACTATTAACAGTTCTCTGTATAGTCTCTCAGACAAATGCTCATGCTTATCTATGTACGTGCTTATTTCCCTTTGAAATTTTTTATAATGTGACTAAATTTTTCATATTTTCCTGTACCTTATTTTTTCACCTAATAATATATCTTGAAGCTCTTCCCATAATAACTGATACAGAACTATTTCATTCCATTTTTTAATGGCTAAACAGTATTCCGTAATATAGATGTAACATAATTTATTCGACCACTCCCCTACTGACAGGCATTTAGTTTGTTTTCAAATGTTTGCTATCAAACCATAAAGCAATAAACATTCATGACAACATATTTGGGTACAAACACAATATTTACTTCGGAAAGATTCTTGGAAGTAGAAATACAGGGTAGAGATAGGAGCTTTCTAAATGTTGAGAGGTACTGCCTTTCCAAAAGGCTTTACCAATTCACACTTACATCAGCAGTATATGAGAATGCCCATTTGGGGGAGTCCTTAAATACAAGGGCAACTTTATCACTTTATTATTTTATAACTCAACTTCTCTGTGTCCTTCATTATATTTTTGTCTTGCTGAATTGCTGATTTCTGTTTAAAATAAAGACTATTATAGAATTTCCCACCATGAAAATGGACTCGATAATTGATCTTTGTGTGTCTATTAGTTTTCACATTTTATTTTCTGTTTGTTTTTTGTTTTGGCAGCTGGCCAGTACAGGGATCTGAACTCTTGACTTTGGTGTTACAACACCCCGTTCTGACCAACTGAGCTAACCAGCCAGCCCAGTTTTTGCTTTTTTATTTCAAAATTTTTAAATTAGATGCCTTAATGTTTATGACTCATATCTTCTTAGGGATTTAATATTTTATCATATAAAAGGGCTCTGCCAATTAAAGGTTTTACCTTAAATGCTACTTTGTCTGATGATAATTTTCCGCATCTACATTTTCATATTAACATTTTCCTGGTTTATCTTTTTTGTGTGCTTCTATTTTCAACCTTTCCAAGTCTCTCTTTTCTTTTGTTAAATTGTACCTTTAACTCTTGATAAATAGCAGGTAGCTGGATTATCTTTCTTTTTTACTCAGTCTGAGAGTCAATATCTTCTGAGAGGAACTCAATCCGTTCAAACTCATTGTGTTTACTGATATGTTTAGATTTACTCCTGCTAACTTGTTTTATTTATTTATTTATTTATTTTTTAATTCAAATGCTTTCTTCTTTCTTCTTCTGACTTATCAGTATCACTAAGTTTTCTTTATCCCCATCTGCCCATGGGCTCTTTTCTCCTTCCAATTAGTAGTTTGAAAGTTATACATCTTATTAGTGCAACTCTAAGTCTAGCTGGCTGACTATACACATACATGCACATTAACATATTTATGTATACACACACACATATATATGTACACATATGCATGCAAATACACATATATTTAAACTCATATTTTCCTATCAACACGTGGGGTTCATCAGTATTCTCACCTTCTCTTAAATAACAAACAGCATTAGCACACCTTCATATATGTATGAGAGACAGCTTCTTTGAAAGTGATTGGCAGAGAAGTTTAAGAGTTTGGGGGTGCTAATTCATTGTTTACAGGAGCTGCATTAGGTAGGTAGTAGAGGAAGGTTACAACATCATTATCTTAATTCCTAGAAGCCAGGAATATTAAAAACCATTAAAAAAAAAAAACCAATTGGAGGTGCTTATTAGATGTCATTCAATAGTGATTGTTCCTACAAGTACAATCATGCATTCCTTAAAACTATTCTAATAGATAATAATAAAGATTTTAGTTTATCAACACTTTAGCATTCTTTCTATTCTAAAATGCTTAATAAAAATCTTTATTTATTTATTTTCTTTTTGTCTTTTTTCGTGACCGGTAACGGGATCGCAACCCTCGGTGTCGCGCCTGCACCGCGTTCAACCAGTGAGCGGACCGGTCTCTATATGGGATCCGAACCCTCGGCGGGAGCGCCGCCGCACTCCCAAGCACCACACTCTACCGAGTGCGCCACCGGGTGGCCCTCATTCCTTCTTTACCAGCACTACCACATCCCCACTAAAAGCCCCCCAAAACCATCCCCTTGGAAATAGTTCCTAGATTTCCTGACTTCTCATTCCTACTTCTGATACCTTTGCTTTTTTGTGATTCTTTAGCTTTCTCCTCCAGATTGCTAATTTGCTTTTTTATCTACGAGCAAATTTTAAATTTGTAAAGTATCTAGTATTCCTTTTAATTAATGCAATATTCTTGTGCATCTTTCTGAAAATAACCACATTAATTCAATGTTTTCCTATTTTCTCAGGGATTAGTTCTGTTTTTTGTTTAACTGGGCAATTTTCTGAGTACTGGCCCTTCCCAACTCTTTGGTCATTTATAATGTCTACTTATATTTGCATGGAGAATGTGC